CGTGTTCTGGAAGCGGCCATCTCTGTGTGACAGTGGGAAGAGAGCTCCCGAGGGAGGCTGGGGTGGAGGAGGGACTCTGGCTTCTCAGGGAGCACCAGACACAGGGCATGTCGCCCAGCTTTTCTGACTGAAGTGTTTCTGACCCACTAAGTCAGCAGTGGGGGGCAGAAAAGCGGTCACACTCCCTATTATTATGTGGATTCTCCATGGAGTTAGTTCTATCTGTTGTACACTCAGAAGAGATTCCTTTGAAATTCTGCAGGCCAACTTAGTATCATTTTTAAGTTGCAGCTTTGGAAATATGTACATCTTTTCGTGTGTGTGTGTTTCTGGGGGAAATATTTTAGTGGAAATTGAAGAGATCATGATGGAACTTAAATTTAAAAGGTCTAATGATTATTTATATACATGATATATTTTGAGTATTTTTCAGGTTTTTTTTTTTTTTTTTTTTATAATCTAAATGTGGCATATACATGCAGGTACGAATCAAACTGGTACGTACTGGCATTCATAGACGTCATGTTCCAATGATGTGATTCTCTAATTTGGAGGCATACCTTCAGGCTTTGAGCCTTTACCATTACAGTATTGGAACTCTAAATCCCCTACTTACATCACAAATCCTTCAAGCATCCATTAAAAGGCTCAGTGGTAAGTTTTTAAAATATTCCACCTTCCTTGAAGTTCTCTGTTCTCTGTTGGGCCATTCTTTTCCAATAATGGTGGTGGCCTTGGCATGACTTTCAGAGTTTGTCTGAAGCCTTGGCAGTCTCAACTTCCATTTTCCTCACTAATGACTGTTCTTGAAGTGCTTCTAAGTTCTTTGACTGTGGGAGTTACGCCCTATACTTTGGAAGAAGTCTACGGGACCACTTATTCACTCTGGTGTCCTGCACAGAGGAGATCCTTGGTGGTCATTGGTTGATTGATTACCATTAAGGCTGAAGTTGTTCTGTGTCAAATGGCAGGCTCACAAATTGGGATACTGAATCTCAGTTCTATAAGCCACTGGAAAACCACAGCGTGAATGGAGAAGGACTTACTATGGGTATTACATGTACTTTTATTTTTATTTTCTATGTTTTTAGTAAGCACCTCCTATGTGCCATCTGATTTAATTTATTCTTTCCTACAACTCCATTATTTCATTTTTACTAGCAGAAAAACTCGGGCCAGAAGAAATGAATTTTACAGTCATAGCAAATAGAACAATATTAACTACATAAATTTACATTCTGGGAGTGGAAAAGGAAAACCCAGAAGAGTTGTATGTATGGGAGGAATTACTAAAATAAGAAGAAGACCAGGGTATCTGTCTATTGGAGAGATAGCCCCGGTGGGGACATAGTTGTCATTCAATAGAGACCTGGAGTTCTAGAAGCACAGAACTTTGTCAATAGCTGGAACTTTAACTTAGAGTGCTAAGTTTTCTTCTTTTTTCTCTCTTTATTCTAAAGAAGCCACACTAAGGAATTTGGGCAGCAGCATAAGGGAATTAGGAATTTCTCTTATTAGTTAGCGTTTTATATCTCCTCATTATTAATTCCGCTCAAGTTAGGCATCAAAAACTTCTATCAGAACAGTAGCCTTATTCCTGGTCATAAAAAGCCATGTTTCCCTTACTAATTGAGGTCTTGTCCGCTAATTGCCCTGCTGAGGGAAATGTACTCAGTTCTGTGTTTTCAGTTTGATTTTAGGAGTCTACTCCTTGAGGCCCTGTGGTTGGTGGATATGTCCCATATCTGCTCTGTCCAATAGAGTAACCACTAGCCACATGTGGCCAGGAAGCATTTGAAATGTGGCCAGTATGCCTGAGGAATTGAAATGCAATTTTATTTAACTCGAATTAACTTGTAGCTACATTTCAATAGCCTCATGTAGCTAGTAGCTCCCCTATTGAACAAAAGGGAATTGATCAATTCCAGCTCACATATTGGACTGTTTCTACTGAATTCTTGTCTCAACAGAGCTTGTTCTTTTACAATCATGCCATTCCTTCCTGTTCTCAACTTACTCAATTAATTTTCTTTTATCACTTGTTATTCAACAATTACCTGCTTGCTTCTAGCAGAAAATTTAAAACTGCTTTATTGGAAAATCTTTTCATAGAAGCAATGTTTTCCTCATTCCTCCCCATATTTGAAAAATAAAAATAATAGTTTGCAAAAGCTGTTTCTTTCCCTGTTACTTATTAATGCCAAGCAGTGTTTCCCAAAGTGTAGAGCATGTGCCCCTAGTGGCTTGAGAGATAATTTTAGGTGGTACAGTGTGAAGCATTTACATAATTTTATTACTTATTTTTATTTTAATGACTATTGGGAAAATGTGGTTAGCACCTCAAATGTATAATTTTATGAATTATTGCTTAGCATGAAGCTAAAATAGACCTTTGCATGTTAGGGACTCATTTAAAACAAACAATATTAAGTAAATAGTAGTACAGGTGGTATGCAGATATGGCAAAACTTATTAATTTATTTAACAATGGCTGAACTCTGGGAAATGTGGCTGTTAACTAAACTTTAAAAAAATATTATTTATTTTTTTATAGAGAGGAAGGGAGAGGGATAGGAAGCTAGGAAAAATCAATGAGAGAGAAACACCGATTAGATGCCTCCTGCACACCCTTCACTGGGGATATGCCCACAACCAAGGAACTTGCCCTTGACCGGAATTGAACCTGGAACCTTTCAGTCCAGGTTCTATCCTCTGAGCCAAACTGGTTAGGGCTGTTAACTAAACTTTTCCCATCAGCTTTAATTCATGCCACTTCCCACAGGTTCTCTCATCTTCAGCTTATTGGCATCCCCGCAAACCTCTGAGCACAGTTCTCATCAGGCCTTTGCTTACATGGCTGCCCTTCTGCTCTGGACCACTCCTTCTCCACCAGGTGAGGTCTACACAGCCACCAACACCAGATCAGATCCTCACAGATGCCATCCATGACACGCTTCTTCAACTCTTCTGTGAAGTGAGCTTCACCTGCCTTTTTATCCTCGATGAAGGTTATTCATTCTTCCAGTGTAGCACTTACCCCTTGATCGTTTATTTGGTTGCATGTGGGTCTGTTTTGCTTTCTGGAATTGAGAATCCCTTCAGAGTAGAGGTGCTGTCTTTATTATCTTGGCACCGAAGAGTCAATTATAGTGTCCAGCACATAGTGCTGATGAAATATTTGTTAAGGGACAAACTCGATTTTTAAGTTAAACTTAATTATGTGAAGTCAATTTGAGCCACACCCTTCCCCTTCTCTTACATTCATCGTATTTGCGGGCAGCCTTTGGCCATACAAGGCCAGCAAACGCTCAGAACGGCAAGGTCCATGCAGTATTAGCTATAATAAGAGGAAACACAGAACTATTTTAAATTGGTGAGGACAAAACTGCAAAGCTCTCCAAAGCTAAAGCAAAACAATTTGAAAAAAATAACTCATGCCCTTGCTATCAAATAGTTTTCATACAGAATTTTATATTCAAATTATGCATTATTAAAAAATACTCTGCTTCACTGAATAAAGAAGATTTTTTTTTTGCGTTCAATTATGAACCTGGTCTATATTGATTTCTTTCACCAAGTAATTGCTTAACTCACCTTTTTTTATTTTGTCTGGTTAGCTGAATTACAAATATAACATTGCATAGCTCTTTGTTCTCAAGCTCAGATAAGATATGGACAAAGGAAATCTGAATACAATAAACTTTATATAAGCCTCCTTGTGTGAATGAGTCATTTACTTATGCCCAGGACAGTAAAAATATACAAGATAGTCAAGATTTATAGGAACAATTTCTGTTTGGATAAAATGTTAACTATATTACTTTCTATTATAGAAGCTCTTGACCTTTTCTTTAAAGTGTTTTCCATCTTGGGTAGGCAATATATTTTGTTCAGTAGAGATTTCCTTCTATATCAGCTTTCCCCCTCTAACTTTAAATGAAGGCTGTCTAGTAGGTAGGGCTTTGTCCCATTTATGTATTTTTAAAATACATATGTTTTTATTGATTTCAGAGAGGAAGAGAGATGGAAAAAGAGATAGAGAGAGGCATCAATGATGAGAGAGAATCATTGATCGGCTGCCTCCTGCCTGCCCCACACTGGGGATTAAGCTCACAACCTAGGCTTATGCCGTGACCTCCTGGTTTATAGGTCGACACTCAACCACTGAGCCATGCTGGCTGGGCTATCTATCTATCTATCTATCTATCTATCTATCTATTTTTTGTAACAGTACTTGATTTATTGAGACTGTAGGACAAATTTCTAAGTCCATTTCTTCATTGTCAGTCAATCATCCGACAAATGCTCATTACATGCCAGACAGTGAACTGAGTGATGGGATAGAAGTTGAATGAGACAAGATGCTGCAGCGCATGAAACTTCCAGCCTGGAGCCCTGATGCTGTTGGGTGTACAGGGGGTGCAGTGGTTGCCCTGTGGGGTCATCCAATAGGGTCGTCCAATGGGGCCATCCCATGGGGCCCAGGGTCCGGGGAGCCTTCTGCAGGAGGGACCCCTGAGCTAGTTAGTGAACAATAAGGCACGCCAGCTGAATCAGGAGGACAGGCTGTTCGGAGGGAGCGGTGCCGAGGCGCCGCGGAGCGCCCTCTGGCGGGAACAGGACGCAGTGCCCCCGCCCAGGCCCCTCTCCCCGCCGCCGCCGCCGGGCGCCCCTCCCGCTCGGGGTTCACTCTCGGGCTCTCACTCCGCGAGCGGAGCCACAGCCGCAGCTCTCCCGGCGGGCGCGGCGAGCGGGCCGGCGCCGGGGACGATCGCCCGGAGGAGCCCAGCCCCGCGCTCCCGGGGACGCGCCGGGGACGCACCGGGGACCGGGGGCGGCTCTGCGTCCCCGCGCGGCACCCTCCGCGGGGCGGCCCGGACTTGGGAGCCTCGGGGAGCCCCGGGCCCGGCGGGAGCGCGGCGGGCTGGGCGGGGGCAGCGCGGCGGCCGCAGCCGGGGCCGCCTCCCCGCCGCGCTCGGTCCCCGGCAGGACCGCCCCCGCCGCCGGGCCCCGCGCCCTCCGCGCCCCGCGCCGCGCGATGTGCGGGGCTGCGCTCTGATCCCGCCGCCGCCGCCGCGATGATCCCCCCGGAGCCGGCGCCGCAGCCGCCGCAGCCGCCGCTGCCGGCCCTGCCCAGCCATGTGGTGACCACCATCGAGCACCTGCCGGCCGAGGCCGGCCTGTCCGCCTCCGCCCGGGCCGGCGTGCGCCAGCGGCTCCGCAAAGTGCTGAACAGGTGAGCCCCGGCGGGGGCTGCGGGCGCGGACGGGGTCTCCCTCTGCCCCGCCCGGGGTCCCCTCTGCCCCGCCCGGGTCCCCCCTCTGCCCCCGCCCGAGTCCCCCCCTCTGCCCCCGCCCGGGCCCCCTCTGCCCCCACCCCGGGTCCCCCCTCTGCCCTCACCCCGGGTCCCCCCTCTGCCCTCACCCCGGTCCCCCCCGCTGCCCCCACCCCGGGTCCCCCCCTCTGCCCCCGCCCAGGTCCCCTCTGCCCCCACCCCGGGTCCCCCCTCTGCCCTCACCCCGGGTCCCCCCTCTGCCCCGCCCGGGTCCCCCCCTTTGCCCCCGCCCGGGTCCCCTCTGCCCCCACCCGGGTCTCCCCTCTGCCTCACCCGGGTCCCCCCTCTGCCCCCGCTTGGGTCTCCCCCTCTGCCTCACCCGGGCCCCCTCTGCCCCCACCCGGGTCTCCCTCTCTGCCCTCACCCCGGGTCCCCCCCTCTACCCCCATCCCGGGTCCCCTCTGACCCGCCCGGGTCCCCCCTCTGCCCCCGCCCGGGTCCCCCCTCTGCCCCAACTGGGTCCCCTCTGCCCCGCCCGGGGTCCCCCCCTGCCCCATCCGGGTCCCCCTCTGCCCCGCCCGGGGTCCCCCCCTCTGCCCCACCCAAGTCCCCCCCTGCCCCACCCGGGCCCCCTCTGCCCCACCCGGGCCCCCTCTGCCCCGCCCGGGCCCCCTCTGCCCCACCCGGGTCCCCCCCTGCCCCACCCGGGACCCCCTCTGCCCCACCCGGGTCCCCCCCTGCCCCATCCGGGACCCCCTCTGCCCCACCCGGGCCCCCCCCTGCCCCCACCCGGGCCCCCTCTGCCCCCAGGCGGACCGCAGGCCCTCGGGGACGGACGGAGTGTGGCTGGGGAGGCGGAGGGAACGGAGGGGGAGGCGCAGCTTTGCCCCAGACCCGGGCGCGCCGAGCGGAGCCCCCGCGGCCCCGGAGTTCGGGAGGCGGTGTGCCTGCCCGGGGCGGGGCGGGTGTCCCCGCGCCCCGCACACGCGCGCTGCCTCGCTCGCCTTTCGCACTCGCACCCCGGCTTTGCGCTCCGGAGCCGGAGGGGGGACCCCGGGGTGGCCGGGCGGAGGCGGGAGGCGTGGGGCTCCCGAATGGCGTGCCAGCCGCGGCCTCCAGCTGCCGCGGGCCCCGCGCCCCGCGCCCCGCGCCCCGCGCCCCGCTGGGCCAGGGATGCGGTGGCGGGGGCGGGAGGCCAGACCCCGCAAAGTGCAGAAAGGGTGCGGGAAAGGGTGCTCAGGAGGCGCCCGGTGATGCCCAGCCGGCGGGAGGCAGAGGCGAGCGCGGGGCCCGCACCTCCAGCGCCGGGATCTGCGCGGGACCTGGCCCGGGGCTGCGGGGGGCTGGCCTGGGGACCCGGCTGATGGGAAGAGGGGGCCCCTCTTGGCGCCCCTGGCTCCACTGCGATGCATGCGAAAGGGACTTTTTCTACTTAAGGAACTTGACATGGTGGAAGCGCTGACGCTCACACACCGTGGAGAGAACTGGTGGTGTGTGTGTTTATTTGGGTGCGTGTGCGCGTTCCCCTGCGTCTGGAGGGGTCACTCTGTTCTTACAGGTTTCTGGTTGGCGCTGGGTCGGGTCATTGAGATTCTCCGAGAAATAGACATGGAGCTCTTGAAAAGCTCTAGAGGGAGCACAACATATGTACAGGAAGAGAAGCTTGGAAAAAAAACACACCACACAAAACCCTTGATTTTAAGAGTATGGTTTAATGTAGTTACATCAAATCCAAACCATCCAAGAGTCCCTTGTGAAGACTTAACACGCATGTTATCTTCCTCGTGGGGGCTTCTGTACGTTTCTGTGTGTTAGCAAACAAGAAGACATGCACTCTGAAGTGAGACGTGGCTTGGTACCACAAAGGCAAGCCTTCACTTCACTTTGGTTTGTAGCTTAGGACCACGGCTTCCCGAATAGGACACTTAAAGAGCTCAGGAGCAGACTAAGTCAAGAAGATGCTGGCTCCGTACATATTACGTGGGTTTCCTATTCTTTCTGATCACCCGTGCGTTTTTAAATTGTAAGTGTCTTGGCATTTGGTTATTTAAAATTTTAAGCAGAACATGTTCATTATTCATTTCTCTCATCAAACTGGAAAAATGTGCAATATTTCATTTATCTTTGCTTGATTATAATGTCTTATTGATTCTGTGCAGGTTATTTCTTATTTCTTTTTAAAAATGTATTTATTTATTTCAGAGGGGGAGGGAGAAGGAGAGAGAGATAGAGACATCAATGATGAGAGAGAATCATTGATGGGCTGCCTCCTGCATGCCCCCTACTGGGGATGGAGCCTGCAACCCAAGCATGGGCACTTCGCTGGAATCGAACCTGGGACTTTTCAGTCCCACTGGCTTGGCTCTATCCACTGAGCCAAGCCAGCTAGGGTGATTTCTTGATATTTAATGAAGCTTAAAGTGCAGAATGACAAGATCACTGAAGTCGGAGTGAGGGGGCTTGGCTTGTCACCATTCCTCCACCACTCACTAGCCATTGGCTGGGACAGAGCTGTTCATCAGCTCGGACCTCAGTTGCTTCATTTGCAAAATGGGTTTTATAATATTTTTCTTACCCCGCTTAACATAGTTTTGAGATTAGATGAGATTATACAGAAGAATGTATAAGGCTTGACACCAATTCATTTATTCAACTGCTTTCTGTTGTCTGAGTTGGGTCTGGGGAATATCATAAGCAAATTAAGTTAAGTCATGGTGCATCATGGATAAGCCTTTGTGTTTAAGCCTCCAGTGGTCTGTGATAGGATTCCTACTATTCCTAATTTATAGAGGAAGAACTTAGACTGAAAGGTTGGATCAGTGACATTTAATCACAGGTACATCTGTGAATGGAACCTTAGGGTAGTTTTTAGACTTCTACTAAAATATTTGTCTTTTAGAGTTCTCCAGAGTGCTCAGTATAATATTTTGTATTGAGTTGAAAACTCTTTTTCTACCCTTAAAGGATAAGAAGACAATATTTCTTTTGAGGAGGAGGACCTTTGAGAAGGAGATTGAAAAAAATCAGAATACATGTAAAAGCCTTCATGGGATAATTTTGTTAGCATGCTGCTGTGCTTGGCCTTTGAGCCATGATTAGTTCAACAGGAGGCAGAGCTAGTGGTGGCTGCTAACAGAGTGAGTGGGCTCAGGAGGGTGGCAGAGTGCCAGTGCTCAGGTGTGGTTCCTTTCTGTTTTGAACCATGCAGGTGTGTTGGGGAAATCAGTCATGATTATAAGGCTGGCTCTGTGTGGCCAAACCGTAAACATCTTTGTTCACATTCTAAAAACTTATGATCACTTTTTCTTCTTTTTCTCTTCCCCTTTTCCTTAAAAAGGAGTGTTAGACTGCGAGCAATGCAAGCCTGGTGAACACCTGTTATAGTCTACAGCAATAGCTCCCTGCCAACTAAGAGGAAGACAGGGAAACACATATGCTAGCTCTATCACGTCTACCTAGGAACAGATACAGCGAGAAGTACTGATTAATAATTAATTAAAAGGGCTTGTTCTCAAGAAGCTTAGAATGAAAGTGTAGTGTTACCTTAATGAAATCTGTCTCACATGATCCTGCATCATTTATTTCCCCCCTCTTTAAAGGCTTGTACATTTGGAATGCTGCATTTTGTATAGGACAATTGGGCATCTCTCCCCCACCCATCCACCCCACCCCATTCTATTCCAAATTGTTTTGGCAGTGAAATGCAAGAGACACAAGATGACTTAAACTAAACGCTGGGACAATTGTTACTTCTTTAGTTGCCATAGATTTAGAATAATGCAGTGGTTTGAAGAAGGAACACGTTATGGTAAACTCTACTTTCTTCTCAGTGAAGAACAGTATTTATTACTCTTCCATGGGCAAGCAAGATATAACAAAAAAGAAAATAGTTCAAGGGCAACAGGTGATGATCCTCTCACAGAAACTGCTGATATCTGTAGATTTTTAAGAAACATACAGAAGCAGATACTGCTCTGTATAGTATCCAAATATTTTCTCCTCTAAAATGATTGCTTAATGAATGTTTATGAAAACATGTGACAGCTTCTTTTGTGTTTTGTATGTGCATCGTTTTATTTATCTTTTCCCACTTGAATATTATTTTCAAACACTAAGAAAAATAAGTATGAAGTTCTAGTTTTGACCCACTTTCTTTCCACTAAGAGACAGATACATTGGGATGTCTCTCGTGATAAAGGATTTCTGCCTTTTCGAGTCTTGTAGTGGGGATGTCTAATCATTAGAATGGAACTGGGTTACCTAATCTTTTGATTTGGAACTAACTGGTTTATGTCCAACGTACATCTTGATTTACTTTAATCAATTTTCAAATTTCTGAAACTTTAAACAATTGGAGACCAAGGAGCAATAAGGAAACTACATAAGAGAGTTGGTAGCAAGCTTACATAAAATCAACGTCTATGCTGGAAGTTACCATCTGTATATATTGCTTTTCTGAGTCATTAATTAAGGTGGACAGAACATGGTGAACCAGCAAAATTGCTTTCAGGGAACTGGGCTATTCTGAACTAACTATTAGGTACCATTGATAACGACATATAATTTATGTGATCCTTTTTTTATCAAATGGGAAAGCTTTTGTTAAAAAAATGACAGTGAGGCTCTTCCTCAAGCTGCTCCTTTTAACAGATGTCAAAACGAAAGGGGAAGATCAAGTAGTAATGAGCATAATTGATACAAAATATGCCAAATGGAACTGGATGGTGTGATTAAAAACAGACATTTCTAAGATCAGTAGTAAACAAAGGATGTCTGGAGGGTGCACTTATTTTTAACTCAAGGACAAAATGATAAAAATAAAACATCAAGTATTTTCATTTTTATGCATGAGGCTTGGTGAAATGAATGTTTATATTAAGATGATCCATACCCAAGTAATTAATATTAATGTGTAATAAAATAGTCATATCTTAGTGTGTTTCTTTTTTACATTTACTTGA